CACCTCTTTTTATCTACTCCTGCCCATAAATGTTCTATTAACTGTCTACCTCTTAATCTATCCATGGTACAAATTCCCCAATATTAAACTCTCTTTCATTTCCGCATCCCTGAAAATCTCAATACCTCTAATAGGAAACTGCTAAACAAATTTCATTCCACTTACTAATTGATATCACGAACCTGCGGCTCTGCTATGTAATGAAACCAAACAAATAAGAGCAAACATTTCAAATAGAATTTTGATTACCATTCTTTAATAAGGACTAGTAAGGTGTAAATGTGGTGATTAATTCAGTATGTTTCCTTATCTGTAAAATTGGCAGTTTAAAAGATTTATTCTTTAAATTATCTACCAACTCCAAAATTCTACAATTCTGTCTTAAAGTCTTAAGTTATTCAATCTACTATCAATCCTACCCAGAGCATTTTCCTGAATTCCAAAAACTCAAGAAATCACAGATTTCTAGGTTCTAGGTAAGGCTGCCATATGCCAAAGGAAAACCCAGTTAAGTGTGAAATTCCTACTAAATAAACAACTTCTATAAACAAACAAAACCTACCTTGCAAGGGATTAGAGTAACTAAAATGAATACTAGGCAAACAACCATAAAGAAACAAAAAGCTTACAACATGTATTATCTATAGTAGAAAGATCAGGGGACTGGAAATCAAAGAGCTGCTTCTAGGGGCAGTTCTGCCAAAAGCTACTAGTTTAAGCAAATGGCAAAATCTGAATATGATGAGATTGGACTAGATAATCCCAAATTAAAATAATTCTCAAGTCTCCTTTGATTTAAAAATCCAAAATTGATATAAAATTCCACCAAAGTGTAGTCAGAGATATTACTACACACACAACTGACAACAACGGCTTTAGCCTCTGCTAAATGAAATAATGGAATCTAGGTTATGCATTATTCTGGGAAAGTAGATACTGGAGGATTTAGGGGCTGTATAGCCTTTTAGTTGTCTGATATTTGAGTAGACCTTGCCTTTCACTTGTTTCTCTTTAATTCTCCATGTCATAAACTATAAAAACTAAGTGATCAACATAAACTTTAAATCACAATTTTCTCAAATGGGAAAACATATTTACGAGGGCCCAGAAAACACTTAAGATTCTCTCCTTGGATTTGAATAGGATCTTTCCTAAAACGCAAGTATAACATTGATATACGATTATGATTATGGTGCTGTAAATTCTCAGATTACTCACTTTTTAGATAATTCTCAGCAAAATTTTAATCCAAGTTGGCTTCCTCCTGCTACCTAGAGCATTTACCAGTCACCACCTTCTACCACTAGTAACCATTTATTTTAATATGAGCCTAAATAAAACACAATCAGGAAAATAAGCCTACAAAAACATGATAAAATACATTCCAAGTAAAATGTTTGGAACATTTAGCATTTTGGGATAATATGATGGAAAGGAAGGTAGGTCTTTATAGTGAATGTTCTATTTTGATAGAAAAACTATGTCTTAACTTTCTACCAGAGAGCTATAGACACTTAAGGATAATCTAGTCTATTGTAAAGGTCTTCAGACCATACACTCTAGTCAGAAAGAACTTTATAATGTATTCTGCTCAAGTTATGTCAATTTTAAAACCATATATTTAAGCCATTATATGTATCAGATCATTTATTGTTCACTTGTAAAACTAATTTTATAAACACATAAATTGTAAATTTCTATTACAGTTAATGTTTCATCACTACTGTGAGAGGGCATCCTTAAAAATCAATAGTAAGTCCTATTGGTATAAGTCCTTTTTGATTATTCTTCTCAAACCAGTAAAGTTTTGACATTAGCCATGATTATTTTATCACTTTCTATGTATGTTTTAGAAAGAAATAGTGAACATATCCACTCCACTCTATTCTTCAGGATAAAAGTAGCTTTTCCAAGTACAACAGATCAACTAACTTGATCATCATTTTTAGGCAATGATTGAACTTTTTATTTCACAGAGCATAATCCATCATTTTTTAAATTTGGCTCCTTAGATTATAAAGCTAAAGATGCTGATTCTCATGTAAAATTTTTAAAAAGTTGTTACTGTTTCATTTTTTATTCTAAGGAACATCAAACTAACTACCTGTACATTTATAAACTTTGTCAAAGTTTTCAAATCTCACTCATTTTCACGATTCTAAATCCACTTGGGATTCTAGGATAAAACCTGTGAATGCTCACTACATACTGAAGATCAGAAAAAAAATCTAGTAAGTTTACTAAACTGCAATTAGGATTTGGACCCAAATGCAAATGTGCACACCATAAAATTTCCTATACGTTCTATAGATGTAGGTAGTTTATTAACTATATTATTCTCTAAATATATATTATGTATTTAATTTGATTTAATCACATTCCATAGGTTGAATTTGGGGGTTGTTTTTTAAAGTGTTGAGAGTTTAGTGTTTATTTTTGTAATCCAACAACTTTATCCAAAAATGCAGAAAATTTTTCTGGCTGGCCAGGAGGATAACATTTCAGTGTTGATAAGTCCATTGACTGTAACAGCCCAGGAAGCGTGCTAAAACAAAAGAAGAAAAATATTAGGTAACATGGGAGAAAATTCCATACTTCATCTGCTGCCCACTTGATGAATGAATCTAACTTCCTAAAATATAGTGGTACTTTGAAAAACTACATATGTGAATTTTTATATATTATAAATATACACACTAGGATTATTAAAGCAATACAAAGAATACTATAAAATGTCAATATAAGCAGATACCTTATCTCCAATGTCAACTGAAATATCTGAGAAATAGTTCATGAAAAATGTGTTCACATGGCTTTGTAATACTTCTCAGAACGGGTGTATTTAAACTGAAACATAATGCATTCATGAAAACAGAATTTAAAAACTGAAACCAAAGGTAATAGCTGTCAGACAAGATAATAAGCTGGGGAAACTACTAGACCATGCATGAAGATTGTGAAATAAACTTTGCCAGTAATTTACTATCATAATTCATATATAATTAAACCATATACTACACCACCACGTTTGCTGGAAATAAGGTTTCAAACATAAAACTATTACTTCAAAAATGTATTTAAACCACTTAAATTAAAACAAACATACAACCACCCAGCCTAGGTTTGGGGAAAATAAATGATTTACCTAAAATGAAAATATAACCAATTATAGATTCTTACTGCTTTCATGGGTTTGACTTTCTTGAAATTAATATAGAAAAAAGACATCTAAAACTGTAAAAAATAAAATAAAAGAATTTGGAGACTTGTACAGTTTCCTTCCTTTTCAGCATGAGTAAACAGTCAGGATGTGTTTAGGAAATCAACGTTTTCCTTTTAATGTACTAACATAAAATCAATGCTGATTTAACATTTAGAATGAAAATATTCATCAAAAGTATCTGGAAAAATTGACTTGCATAAACCAGTTAGTAAGGTAAGTTTATTCCTCTTTAATCTAGCTTCTCTCCTGACTCACTAATAATTCAAGACTAGCTTCTATATTACACAGCCACCCTGACATTCCCTCCTCTCCATCATTACAGTGTTAAGGGCACCAACAATATTACTCCTGAAACAATCAATGAATCTGCTTCCTCTCAATGAGAACAGGAATTTTTGTCTGTTTTGTTCACTGATGTATACCAAGTGCCTAGAATAATGCCTGTCACATAGAAGTGCTCAATAAATATTTAATAAATGAATAAGTATTTACTGAGTACCTAAGAGACAGAAGCAGTAAAACTAAAAGAAAAGCTTATTATGCTCTAGCCAGTTTCTTCTCAGGTTTTTTAAAATTAATTTCAATTTACTATAATATAAATATGTAATATATATATGTATATACACATACATAGATATATAGTAATTCTATGCGGCATTTACTTCTTGAAACACCAAACTAGGATAGGTCTTAAAGCCAAAAAATTGGGAATTACTGACCTGGCCCTTTGGCAAGCTTCTAGTGTGTCAAGGAAGTACTAATGGAAAACAAACCAGCAATTTTCTTCATCCTTCTATTACGATGATCAGTTCCTGTTGAATTCTAATATACTTGTAGAAAATAATACTCCTACTATAAAGTAATTTCTCTGCTTAAAATACTTCAATGGCTTCTCAATAAACATAAATAAAATCAGAACTCTTACATAAGCTACCCCACCCAGCTTCATCTTCTATTATATTCCCTTGCTCACTGTGCTCCTGCCACACTTATCTTGCCTCTGTTCCTCAAGGACACCAACCTCCAAGTTCATTCCTTACTGAGGCTTTTGCACTTGCTGTTCCTACTGGCTCTTTCTTATAATTCGGATCTCAGATCAAAATGTTAGGTACTCTGCCAAGCCTTCTCTGACAATTCTAATCAGTCTTCAACACAGCTACCACATTACCCTGTCTTACTTCATAGTACATTTCACTACGTGAAATATCTTGATCATTTATTTGTGAACTTGTTTACCATCAAATTTCCACCACTAGAATTAAGCACCATGAGAACAGGGACTTTATCTCGCATTTACTACTGTATCCACAGCACCAAAAACAGTGCCTGTTATATATTCGGTGTAACTGAATAAAGGAAAGAGTACATTTAATTTAGGGATTCCAGTGGATTCACTGTAGGCAAAACTTTTAACTAAAATGAGCAAATGCCTTCCTTGAATAATGAAAATCTATATAATGAACTCAAAATTTAGAACTCCAAAAGCAGTGTCTCAGAAACTTGCTTACCTAAACACACATACACACTCTCTCTCAGATATTCACATATGCAAAGAAATAGCCACAGATACAGACAGAAATATAACACAGAGCTCACAAAGTGGGAAACAAACAAATGGGAGGGTTTTACAACTGAGAAAATAAAAATGTTCGGTAAATGAGAAGAGGCAGAAGAGACAGATGGGTTAGGTAGGTGGATAAGATGAACAGCAAGTGGATAAGACAAACAGCAAGGGAGGAATTAAGGCAAGAGATTAAAAATAATGTCTCTAGTATACCTGCAGGTACAATAGAAGAGATGACCCTCTTTGTGTAGCTGTTTTGCCAGTTCCAGCTGATGATTGTTCATCAGCTTTTCATTTATAACTACCACGAGTGGCTTGCCTTTTTCCAGAGTCTCCAAACAGCTTCCTGCACCTACAAATATAAATCAAATTTGTTTAACACAATTTAATGTAAGTTACAGTGCCCACGAAGCTTTATAGCTAGAACACAGAAGTTAAAATACTTGGCTGACAGAACTACAAACCGGGTCTTTCAATTATACATTTAAAATGACGAGAGTATAGTCATCAGTTGCTCTCTTAAAAAGTGTTGGACACTTTGAAAAATACATTACTTTATCACTGATGATGACATTATGGCCTATGATTCAGTGCTATGCCACTTGTTCTCTAGTATCAATGACCCTTGACTTATGATGGAGTATAATCTCATCATAAGTTGAAAACAGGCTGGGTTGAGGGGCTTAAGCCTTGGGAGGCCAAGGTGGGAGGATTGCTTGAGCCTGGGAGTTCAAGACCACTCTCAGCAACATACAGAGACCTTGTGTCCACTAAAAAATAAAAATAAAAACAAAAACAATAAGGCATGGTGGCAGTTGTCCCAGCCACCGGGGTGCCTGAATCCAAGAGTTGAGTCCAAGAGTTGGACAAGCTCCCTGGTGAGCTCAAGTCACAGGGGAGCTTGAGTCCAAGAGTTGGAGCTTGCAGTGAGCTATGATTGCACCACTGCACCCCATCCCAGATGACGGAGTGAGAATCCATCTTGAAAAAAGAGAAAAAGAGGCATTTGAAAATATTCTAAGTCGAAAATGCATTTGATACACATAACCCACCAAACATCACAGCTTAGCCTAGCCTACCTGAAACATGCTCAGAACACACTTACATTGCCTATGGTTGGGCAAAATACTCTAACACAAAACCTATTTTATGATAAAGTGTTGAATATCTCATGCCATTTATTGAATACTGAAAGTGTAAAACAGAATGGTTGTATGCGTACTCGAAGAGCGGTTTCTACTGAATGCGTATGTGTATTGCTTTCACACCACCATAAAGCTGAAAAACTCTAAGTGAAACCACTATACGTTGGCCCATCTGGAGTATGCTTTGGGCATGGCCTTGAATCCAAATAAGATCCAGGTTTGACATACTGTATGTGAAACTACACTTCATTTCTATTCAAACCCAAGTAGCAAAGCAAGCCTACAGTAGAGACAGGAAGGCATCAATAATGAAAAACCATGACCACCTCTTATGGGTTTACATGTGAGGTGCTATCCCAGAAATAGTCAAGGATAGATCTCCATGAATATGCAAATATACAATATTAGGATCAATTCAATTTTGAAATCTAAAATCATCTAGGTATTTTAAACGGGTGCAAGGATATTGATAAGTGAGTAGATAAATCATTTTTGGGTATCTTATGCAAGGAAGGTAGTTAAGAACATTAACTCCAGCACCAGATTGCCATCTGTCCACCACTTCTTGGCTGGACAAGTTACTTAACTACTCTTGTGTCTCAGTTTCCACATGTGTAAAATGGAGATACTAACAGTACTTAGTTCACAAGATTGTTTAAAAGAGTAAAGTTAATATAAACAAAGCATTCAGAGCAGTGCCAAAGGTTCTGTTATCTCCCAGGAGATACATTTTTAATAACCAATCTGTTGGTAATGTCTATTTCTAAAAAAGTTTCTCTCCTCAATCTAGACTTTTTAAAAAACCAAGAAACATCATCCCTCACAGCAGTCAGAAGTGCATTGCTACCGAAAAGCAGTTTTTCTGAATGTCCTAGAAGTCTAATTAACTAGATCATCAGGGTGGTTCTCTGAAGAGGAAACAATTTACACAGCATGTAGCTGTTACTATTGACTGGACTCATTTCATTCACATTGAAAAGAAATATAAACAATCTTTCAATACCAACGTCTCCATGACCAATCCAACCAATCAGCAGGCAGAACACTCCTTTAGATCTAAGCCGAAGTACTAATGTCAAGTAACAAATGTAACAATTTGTTACACTTCATCCGGTAAATTATTTTGTCTGTTTAGAGTTTCTTATTGTAAAGGTGGGCTACAGTGATTAATTTCCCATTCTTCTCTCATCTGAAAACACTAAGTTCTCTCCAATAAAGTTCTCAATTGTCATATTCAAATAAGTTGTGTATTCAAAAGGGCTACAGTAAGTTCAGCTAGTGATTTCATTTTACCTTGAAAAGGTTGAAGTGTCAGTTCCTTACTGGAGGGAGAGCATCAGGAAAAAATAGCTAAAGGATGCTGGGCTTAATACCTAGGTGATGGGTTGATAGTGCAGCAAACCAGCAAGGCGCACGTTTACTTATGTAACAAACCCGCAAATCCTGCACATGTACCCCAGACATTTTTTAAATAATTAAAAGATCCAGCCCTGAGATTCAAGGCACCTTTACCTGCGTGACTAATAACAAGATCAGCTTTCTGAATATCTTCTTTCAAGGAATCCTTGTACCTGTAAACATCCAGAGTAAATGACTCAGTACTGAAGGGTTCAGGTACCACCGTTCCTCTACCAATTTGCAGGATAAGTCGGCTGTAACCAAGGCTCTCGATTTTCTGAAACGGGAAATTAGAACATGCGGGCTTTTAAACCGGCTATGTAAAACAAAGCAGGAACCACCACCGCTCCTAAAGTCTGGCGTTAAGATCGGAGCACGGCCGCCAAAGGGCCTACCTGTGGCCGATTTCACTTAGTTTTCAAAACTAATGTATTTTCCGGTCTGGGGCCCGACGAGGAACCTCTCGAGCACTCAAGAATCTAAACGACCCAGCTCGCAGCGTCCCGCTAAAGCCAGAGCAGGAAAAGACTTTGGAAAAAGTAGTCGCAAACTCCGGGGGAACCCAGGGACTACACGTTCTGCCTCATTTGCTGAACTGGGAGAACCGTGAGCCCTGAGGGGAAGACGCGCGCTGAGGAGAAGAACCGCGCGGGCTCCCGGCAAGCGCTGCGGGGAAGGATCCGGGCTCTGAGGTGAGCTCTGTGGAATGAGGCTCCGGCGCCAACGCGCGATCCACAGGGAGCCTGAGGAGAAACTGCCAAGCCCGGGCTCAGAGGGGCGGAGCGTTGGAGGAGGGGCGGAGGACGCGGAGGCGGAGAATAGACCGCAGCGGAATCCCGGGAAAGGAGCCGAAGAAATGACGGAAAGGAGCGGCCGGGGTAACGGGAAAAGGAGACAGGAGACCCCGAGTAGCCGGGGAGCCAGAAGAGAGCCCCGCTGGGCGTGGGGAGGAGACAGCTAAGCGGCAGCGGCACCTGTGGTAGAGTTGCGGGGGTTTCTTTCCGAGCGCGGCGGTCAGGCAAGGCTACCAAGGCTGTCACTAAGGCCGGAGGCGGCGGGTGGTAAGCCAAGTCGCCACCTACTCGCCTCCCTGACTCACTTGTAGACTGTCGGGCGCTGACACACACGCAATGAGGTCGTCAAAGCTGGTGGTCCCTACGGTAACAAACACGCACTTCATCCCGCGGGTTCTGCGACCCTGGATCGCAAGGGCCGGATGTGACGTAAGAGAGGTCACGCACGTTGCCGCGCCGCTTTCTGTGAGGGAGGCGGAAATCCGTAATGGCCGCCAGAGAGCGGCGGGCCTGGGGCTGTGTCACCGGTTGGGTGGGGCCAAAGACTATTGGTGGCCTAGCTGTCAGTCACTATTCTAAACCCTTTATGTGTAGGAGCCAGTTCTTGAGACCCCTCGCTATAAGGGAATGGGGAAGGAGCCAGTTCTTGAGACCCCTCACTATAAGGGAATGGGGAATTGCCAAATGTAGTTAACTTTTTCAAAACTAGTGGGTGAAAAAAACGAACACAATATTCAAAGCATTGTGTTGGTGTTATTGCGTGGGTACCACAATCCTTTAATGACAGACAAGCTTGGGATTTTTTTTGTTTGCTGTCATGTTTTGTCAAGATACATTTTAGAGATGGTTTTACTTCGAGTTGGCGAAGGGGTTATGAAAAAAGTGCTTTACCAGGTGCAGTGGCTGTAATCCCAAACTACTGGGAAGAATTGCTTGAGCCCAGGAGTTTAAGACAAGCTTGGGCAACATAGCAAGACCCTCATCTCTAAAAATGTTATTTTTTAATCCGGGTGCCATTGCTCAAGTCTGTAATCCCAGCACTTTGGGAGACCAAGGCAGGTGTATTACTTGAGGTCAGAAGTTCCAGAGCAGCCTGGGCAACATGATGAAACCCTGTCTCTAATAAAAATAAAAAAGTTAGTCAGGTGTGGTGGCAGGTGCCTGTAATCCCAGCTACTCAGGAAGCTGAGGCACAATAATTGCTTGAGCCCAGTAGGCAGAGTTCCCAAGATCCTGCCACTGCACCCCAGTCTGGGTGACACAGAATGAGACCCTGTCTCAAACAAACAAAAAAAATTAATTAGCCCCCACCTGTGGTCCTAGCTAGTCAGAAGGCTGAGGCTGCAGTGAGTAGTGAGCCAGGACCACACCACTGCACTCCAACCAAGACGACAGTGAAACACCATCTAGAAAAAATAAATTTTTAAAAAAGCCTAAAAAATAAAAGACATCTTACAAGATATGGGGTCTAGCTCTGTTGCCCACACTGGATTCTAACTCCTGGGCTCAAGTGATCCTCCTGTGGCAGGCCACATCTCACTAAGTCAGGTCTCCATAACAGTTGTTTCAGTACTGAGTAGTGAAGTTAAATATTAACAGCTGAAAAAAAAAGTGAGTGCCTTTATACAAAGGCCAGAATGTAACAGAAGCCCACCAAGAGTTTTGCCTAGGCCTTTCCTGGGCCTTAAAGCATGACAAAATAACAAAGGAATTCTTAACATGACCCATTTAGGATTAAACGAGTTTAATTGTGGGTCTGAAGAAACTCCTCAGGCCTCCACAAACAAGTTTATTGGGAGTCTGAAGGAACTCCCCAAACCTCTGTGATTTAGCAGAAGACAAGATAAGGGTAGTCACACCAGCACCTGGACCCATTTAGAATAAGTAAATGTACTGAGACTCCAGAGGAAAGTCTTCAGGATTCAGACCTTAGTTATAGATTGAAAGAAGTTAATCACTTATGTCTTTAGATGAATGCACACTTATATGTAGACATATAGTTTAGAAGGTATGTAATCTCTGGAAAACATTGTAATTTTGAGTTGATCTGGCGATAATTTCCAGGCCTTCTCCCTATAAACAGTTACAGAAATAAAAACTCTCTTCTCCCCACCCAGTTCGTCTACATCTTGTCATTGGGTGGTGAGAAATCGCAGCCCGACTCTCAGTTTAGTCCAGGAACACTCTCGCCTCTGCCTCCCAAGTAGCTGGTACTATAGGTGCACCAAAAGTGACTTTTAGAAAATCACTCTAACTTGGGCTCTTCTACCAACTGTGGTTTTCAGAAAACCAGGGCCCTTTAGGGTCTCTTGGAAGCTGCAGTTAACCTCCATTAGCAAGCATGACTTGTAAAATAGAGGTGATAAAGCTTGAAGCCTAGATCTATAATCTGTTGAATTATTCCACTGAACCATTTAAATGTAAAATTACATATTAGCACGGCAAAGTACCACAGATAAATTACACTTAGGCAGGCAGGTACAGGAGAGGTTATTTCTAAAAACGCTCCTTTTTTCTTCTACCACCATCATACCATTGTTAAGATAATTACTCATTCTATCTCCTTCTAATGTTTTATGTATTTCCTATTTAAATTATCACCTTAGCTCATATTTGTGCTTTGCCCTGTCTGGATATATATAGAAGAGAGGCTGTGAGAAGAAATTATTTTCAGGAGAAAAAGGATTGGAGGTAAATTGGGCCTAGAACATCACCTAAGACCCTTGGGCCTATTTCTACAGGATGTTTCCTTTAAATCTTATAGCTGACGCAGTTGTCCTTTTGAGGAGTGACATGCTGTTGTTCCCTTTTTTCATACCAAATTTCATAAATTATGAAATGACATTAACCCAGTAACCATAGTGTATGAAAAAACAGCAGCTGCATCCCCTGTGTTCCCTGAGAGGGCAGCTCCATATGAGCATAATGGCCTCCAAGCTAAGGCAATTCCTGTAACCAAAGCTGAAACACAGTGGCAGGAAAACTCACCAGCTGCCTTTATGAAAGTGACATCCAACAGAGACTTCTGGTTGGGACTTGGAAACGACCCAGTCAGGACTCAGCTGTTTTCAACTAATGGAAACTAAATACTTTTGAGTTATTTATTTGCATTCACAGACTTGATTATGGGCTGGGACGAGAACTTTCCCTATTTAAGCCAGACCCACTCTTTGTTCTTTGGAGCACACTCTGTTTACAATGGAGGCTGTGTTTCCCCATCTGCAGATCTCCCGCTTTTAGGTTGAGGTCCCCGAGACTTTATTTTCTCTAGGGAGCTTGTTCACCTGGCTCTATTGGTCCTGTAGGGCACACTCACACTGTGTGGAGTACATTTGCATTTGCAATGTACTTGTGCTTGGTGGAGTATGCTCACATTTCAAGTTTTGTGGGGACACTGATGCTTCGGTTGCACCCAAAGGCATGCCTTCATTACAGTGCTATGGGTAACCCATGTTCTAAGATAACGGTCTTCAACCAGCTACCTTATGGTTCACTGATGACTTTTATACTTAAAACCTATGTAGAAAATTCTTATGCCTATTTAAATCTCTGGATAAAATTAACCCAGGGTGATTTAAAACTTTTTTGGCTACAATTGGGAACTTTCTGTATCCCTAATCAAATTTATTTATGCATACAATTAGAACAAAGAGGAATCTAGGCCTCTCAAAGAAAATACGAGGCTTTATTTAACAGGTACTATGAAAACTCCAAATGCAATCAAGAATTTCAAATTGCCTTCTTGAGAGAAACTAATTCTGAACTCCCTGTCTCCAAAAACTTAAAAATCCTCCTAGCCCAGATTCTGCTCCCAAGAGGGACTCTGTAACCCTTTGTTCTTCTCCTTTCACTCCTTCTGCACTACCTCTACTTTATTCTCTTCTGCTACTACCTTCTTCACTTTCTGAACTTCCTTTTTTCTCTTCACTGTCTATCCCAGGCACACTACCCATAACCCCTCAACTCCTCTTATTGCCCCATTTAAAATAAGTGAAAATGCAGAGGGAGATCAGACCATTTCTTGCATTCCTTGGTCTAAATCTGAACTCTTGGCAATTGGCCTAAAACTGACTTCCTTCAGTTTGAATGCCACTTTGGTTTAATCATGAGCACATACTGGCCCAGACTCACCAAAATCTATTAACTAATTCACATGCTGGGCGTCAATGTCATTGGTCAAACATATATATGCCTAAATAAATGGATAAAACCTCTAGAGGACTTCCATTTCAAAAGGGAAAAGGCCATAATAAAAGGAAAGAAAATAACCTGTTATTTGTTAAAGGTCATTCCAGTATTTTTCCTCTAGAAAATTAATGGGAAAGCCATTCAATGATTCACTCAAAAGAAAGATGAGTCTCTCTTAGATTATTATGACTGGTTCAAAATGGCTTTCCACGCTGGGCGTGGTGGCTCACACCTATGATCCTAGCACTTTGGGAGGCTGAGAGGCAGAAGGATCACTTGAGGTCAGGAGTTTGAGAGCAGCTTGGCCAACTATGTCTCTACTAAAAATACATTTAGTAGAGATGGCAAAACCCTGTCTCTACTGAAAATACAAAAATTAGCTGGGCATGGTGGTGCATGCCTGTAGTCCCAGCTACTCAAGAGGCTGAGGCATAATAATCACTTGAGCCCGGGAAGCGGAGCTTGCAGTGAGTTGACATGGCAGCACTGCACTCCAGCCTGGGCAACAGAGCGATACTCTGTCTCAGAAAAAAACAAAAAAAAAGGCTTTCCTGCAAAATTGTGGTATCAAGGACTTAACGGAGGATACCAGTACTTTTTAATTCCAGTTTTCTTTTGGATCTTAACCAGACTTTTAATGCCTTAGTCAAACAACATAACCTCAATTGGACCTTTAAGAAACCCCACAAAATTGCCTCTTTGGCAAACTATCTCTCTAAAACTTCATAAAGAAACAAACAAAGAATAAATAAGACACCTGATTATTAGGAAAAGACCACCACGCTCATGGCTCTACATATTCAGCAATTTAAAAAACAATCACAGAACCAAAATTCTCTCAAGATGTTGGGAAACAAGACCTGTTTCTTTCACAAGGGCTTTGATCACTACAAAAGAGGTTATGGAAAATATAGATGATGGCTTCAGAAGAACCCAGATAAAGCCAAGGAAATGCCAGCTTTTTCTTCATTACAAGAGTAGGGATGCTTCAGGAAGATAAGGGCAACATTCTTTCTTCTGTGAACAAGCTGGAGAAAGTTGGTTTGCAAATAAATAACAAATTGATCCAGGCACAGATAGATACTGTTGCTACCCTCTCAGTGCTAAACTCCAACTCTTTTTCAGATCGCCTTCCCAAGAGTAGTCAAACCACCCAAATGATCGGGGTCCCCAGCCAGACAATGATAGTCAAGTCAAATCCAATTCCTTATCAGATAGGGCCCATCATTGGATACCATAGCTTCCTCCTTCTCCCCTCCCTTCCCATACATTTATTAGGAAGGAACTTCCTTGAAAAGAGTCAAGCCAACATCATTTACTCAAAAGGGAAATGTGTTATATTAGGAATAACCTCACCTGAGACCTCTGCTTTGTTTTGTTTTGGTTTTAACAAGGGAGCCTTGCTCTGTCACACAGGCTGAAGTGTAGTGGCACAGTTGTGGCTCACTGCAACCTTGACTTCCTAAGCTCAAGTGATTTTCCTATCTCATCCTCCTGAGTAGCTGGGATCACAAGCAGGTGCCACTGCACCCAGCTAATTTTTTTTACATACAGAGATGAGGTTTCACTATGTCGCCCAGGCTGGCCTTAAACTCCTGGGCTCAAGCGATCCTCCCGCCTTGGCCTCCCAAGGTGCTAGGGTTACAGGCATGAATCACTGCCCCCAGTCTAATTCCTCTACTTCTGACCTCACTTATGTGTTTCCCTTGTGAGCCCCTGTCTGTCCAGCCATTTCTGAACAACCTACCTTAAGGGAATTGTCTGAGACCCTATGGGCAAAAATGAATACCAATATCTGTCTTTTTCACTCAGCACCACCTGTGTTCATTCAGATAGATCCTAACAATTCTCTTCTAAATTTGAAACAATACCTTCTCAATTCTGAGGCCTTATCAGGCATAGAATCTATCATTGATTATTTTATTTCTAAGGGACTCATCCCCTGTGCTATCCCATGCAATACCTCAGTTTCACCCATCTAGAAACATAATGGGAGAAGATTGAGGTTTGTTCAAGAACTTAGAGCTGTAACCAATATTGTTATTCCTGATCCACATATACTCTTAAATAATATGCCTTCTGACACCCAATATGTTTCTGCTTTTGACCTCTGTGTTGCCTTTTACAGCATCCCTGTTTACCTGAAAGTCAGTTTCTTTTCACTTTCATGTGGAGAGGCCAACAATATACATGGACAGTACTTCCTCAGGGGTATCCTGAGAGCCCTATCTATTTTTCCCAGATTATTTGAGCAGACCTGGAACAGATAACCTTTTTGTGAGGTTCAACCCTTTTACAATATATTGATGATATGCTTTTATGTTGTCCCTCTCAAAACACTTACCTTGCTGACACTCTTCATTTTTACTGCCTGCTGACCCTCAGTAAATGTCATAATAGATTGCAGTAAGCAATGGTTAAATTGGGAGAAAAAGAAAATAGTATCTCATAGGTCAGTTGGCTGGCTGAAAGATGTTGGGTTACGTATAAAGGTCAGTTTGTCTCTGCAGACTGCTAAGGAGGATTGGATGTCTATTTGTCCCTTCTCATAATCTTGTTTGGGAGTTAAATGTGCAATTTTGTTTCATCCATATCCCTCTTTCAAGATCTGAAACTGCTTTCTGAGATGTAAAAAGAAAATAGTATCTCATAACCTAATTTTTCTCTAAAGAAAAATTATAATTTTGTCAAGATTTAATTAAATTCCTTGGATATGTATTAATTTCCTTAAGGCTAAGCCTTGATCCCTCTCACGTTCAGGTCATCTTTTTCTTCCCCTTACTTGCTACAAAAAGGCAGCTCAGAGTATGTGGATTATTGTAGAATGTGAACCCCAATTTCTCTCTAATGCTACAACCCTTATATTCCTTAATTAAAGCCTCCTTCCCCCATTGCCTTGTATGGATTACTGATGGTGAACAAGCTTTCCATGTAATATGCTCAGCCCTTACATTTACTTTGTTTTTATCTTAATTGTCATAGCTTTAGGAATTCCCTGTATTTTAGACAGTTTTTTAGACATGTTAAAATTTAAAAGGGTTCCCAAAGAGGACAGTTCCAGGCAAACATCCTGTTTGTGCCTCTGAGCTAAGGCAGTTCCTGTAACCAGTAACTGGAGCTGAGACACAGTAGCAGGAAAACTCCCACCAGCAGCCTGAAAGGAGCATCCAACAGACTTCGGGTTCTGGCTCGAAAACTACCCATTCAGGACCCAGCAGTTTTCAACCAATTCAGGCTGAATGAGTTTGAATTCTTCATTTGCACATACGGACCTCATTGAGGGCTGGGATGGGATCTTTCCCAATAACATGCTTTCAGTTTACGTCAGAGGCTGTGATTGTTTTTTAAGAAAATAAAATTCTTTATTTTTCCTTTGCAGACCTCATGGTCTTTTGTTAACAAAATTAATGATACAGCGAAACAACAGTTTTATGACAATAAATATAGAAAGGTCATGGTTGAATAATAAAACAATCACAATCATATTTTCTGCCCAAATAGAGAATAAAATCTGAATATTTAGTGAAATATAAAAACAAAAATATTCAAAAGTATTACCTGTCCTAAAAAAAAATCCAGGACTTAAGCTTCCTATACACGAATCAGAGACTACAGTGACTCATTTCCTCTTAATTATACTGCAAAGCACAATAAGTTACAGAGACCATTTTTTATATGTGGGATAATAAGTACATTAACTATTAAACTAAAACCCTAAAAATAGTTTACAAAACTACTTCTAGCTGATACATTAGAACAGAAGCAGAATAGATCAACATGTCCTAGATATCACACCACCCCACTACTCTAGCTAAATAACCTCAAAGAAATCATTTAACCTATCTTGAGCCTCAGTTTTCTCATTTATAATGAAAGTAATAGATTCAGATTTGGTCTTTTAACTATACACTCTATGACTCTAAGAGCAAATATTCTGCTGTTTGATAACAAAGGAAAAAAATTATATAAATCCATATTTAATGTTAATGTCATACACTGATTACATTGATTGTTATAACTAACATTTGTATGGCACTTTGCAGTTTTATTAAATGTCTTCATGTTAATCATCATATTTTAATCACACACCTTCCCTATGGAGTAACAGAATGGGAGAAGTTAAGCTGTGTGCTCAAGATCACATGGCTAGGAAGCAACTTACTGAAGAAGTACAGCTCTTTTGCTGGTTAAGCCTGGACAGGTCTTTTCTTAGCTCCCAGAGGTAAATCCAAGCAACCAATGAACTTTAACTTTGTATACTCTGTTTCATTAGTTATTCTCCTTCCTGAGATTTTTTTGGGGGGTTATTATTTTATTTCTAATTTATACATGACCGCTAAGTTATTCCCACTTGGTAGCAGCAATAGCTGGGAATCTGGTATTATGGCATGTTTATTCAGTCTCTGTATTAATGGGTTTTTTTTCTTTTTTTAAAAAATCTCTCTTTTTTTTTTCCTTTATTTTTGCATTAATGGGTTATATGGATTAATAGTAATGTATTAT